GCCTACCTTTCGTGGAGCACTAGCGCAAAATAGGAACAAGTGCCGCAGAGCGACAGCGCTCACCTGACGGCAGGTGTTCTGATGCTAAACTCAGGGGCAAACGAATCAAGAGCACCCTCCCATCGCCGCGTTCGCTCTCCCTCGTTGTCTCTCATTCTTTCTCTTTCGCTCTTTCGCTCTCTCGCTCTTGCTATCTCTTCCCTTCGCGCTCTCTCTCTCCCTCTCTCGCTCGCTCGATCACACTCTCTCTCGCTCGATCACACTCTCTCTCTCTCTTTCTCTCTCTCTCTCTCTCTCTCCCTCTCATCTCTCTCTCCTCTCTCTCTCTCTCTTCTCTCTCTCGGTTGCTCTCTTCTTTCCTTCACTGCTCTCTCTGCCCCTCTCTACACCTCTCTCGCTCGCTCACGACTCACTCTCCCTCGTTTGTCTCTCGTCTTTCTTTGTCTTTGTCTGTCTCTTTCTAGAGAGAGAGAGAGAGAAAGAGAGAGAGAGAGTGTGATCGAGCGAGAGAGAGTGTGATCGAGCGAGCGAGAGAGGGAGAGAGAGAGCGCGAAGGGAAGAGAGAGCAAGAGCGAGAGAGCGAGAGAGCGAAAGAGAAAGAATGAGAGACAACGACGGAGAGCGAACGCGGCGATGGGAGGGTGCTCTTGATTCGTTTGCCCCTGAGTTTAGCATCAGAACACCTGCCGTCAGGTGAGCGCTGTCGCTCTGCGGCACTTGTTCCTATTTTGCGCTAGTGCTCCACGAAAGGTAGGCGCATTGTGACGGCCGCACACGTGTAGTTTTCCTAGATATCATTCTACAGCTCCGTTCACAGCTGTAACTTGGTAGCATCTGCTGATTTCCCTGCGATATAGTCGCATATATATTTGCAGTGTGTAATTGTGTATTGTAATTCATAATATTCTTGTCGGCATATGAGAAGAGATCTTTACTATCTCTCTTTATCTATCTCTCTCTTTCTTGCTCTCTCTCACTCTCTCACTGTCTCTCTCTTTTTTCTCTCGCTCTCCCTCTCCCTCTTTATCTCTCCATCTCTCCTTCGCTCTCTCTGTCTCTCTCCCTTTATTTTCTCCTTCTCTTCTCTCGCAATTCCAGATCCAATTGGTGACAGATGGGAGACCCAGGACCAGTTTAACTATGCCGTCGACCTAGTTCGTCACATCCGCAAGAAGTATGGCGATTACTTCGTTATCGCCGTTGCAGGTGCATTAAATTGACCACCTCTCAAATAAATTCAATTAAATTGAGAAAAATAATAGATGTAGATAATTTAAGTCTCGTCTGTCAGCATACGTAGTACTGATTACTTCAGCATGAAAATTGTTAGGAGTTTGTCGCTGTTATAAGGTTTAAGGTAGGGGGTAGACAGGGTCTCTACAGTAAGGGTTATTTAATACAGCTCTGTGGTTCTATGCTTTCTGGTGCGCGTTGCCACGATGCGATCTATTTGATGTGGCTCTGTGGTTCAATGCTCTTGCGTGTTTCAGGTTATCCCACAGGTCACCCGGAGGCGCAATCGTACGCGGAGGACCTCATGCGGTTAAAGGAGAAGGTGGACGCCGGTGCGGACTTCATCATTACACAACTGTTCTTCACCGCTGAGACCTACCTCAAGTTCGTCAGCAACTGTCGCGACATCGGCATCACGTGTCCGATCCTGCCTGGAATTCTCCCCATCGTGGTAGGTTGTCTCACACGCGTCGCCGGCCGTCTCCGCCGAGAATTTACGCGAATATGTAACGCAGGCGTCGCTTGCATATTTCGTCTTTCACACCATTCACTCATCATTCATTCATTCATTCATGGTTCGTTGTTCATTGTCCCATCTCGTATGCGTTGCCGCTACGTTATGCGGGGCTACCAGTCGATAAAGGCTGGCGCATACGTTTTATCAGTGGTTAATAACGACATGTTATATGTCAATGTGTCAATTTCATATGTCAATGACATGTCAATGTCGCATGTGACATCTGTCATTATTAACCCCTGATTTCATCTCACTCGTACGCGATTCATTCATCGTTTATTTGCTCGTTCATCGTTGCCCCGCTCCAGGGAAAAAATTACTTTTTTTTCACGGGAGCTTTTTTTCAAAAGTCTGTGGGAAAAATAGCTCTCGTCTAAATTTTTACGGGAGCTATTTTGAGCCTCACGGGAGCGATTTCGGAGGTTTGAAGAGCGAATCGCTGATCGCTCCCGTGTATTTTTTACCTTGCTTCATTCGCCCATCGTCGCCCCGTTTTTGTCGTTCACCCAGGGCTATCAATCGATGAAGACGATCGCGACGCTGTCCAAGCTCGAGGTGCCGCAACACATCCTCGACGCCGTGCACTCGATAAAGGACAACGACGAGGCCGTGCGACGATTCGGCGTTGACCACGCCGTCGCGCTCGTGCGCACGCTCTTCGACACTGGCGACGTCGGCGGCATGCACATCTACACGATGAACCGTGAGGCGGCACCCATCGAGATCCTCCGCCGCCTCGGCATGTGGCGCGATACGCCGCCCGTGCGTGCGCTGCCCTGGAAGCTGACGGCGAACCATCAGCGGCGCGAGGACGTGCGCCCGATCTTCTGGAGCTCGCGGCCGCGCAGCTACGTCTACCGCACGCAGGACTGGGACGAGTTCCCGAACGGACGCTGGGGCGACTCGGCGTCGCCGTCGTTCAACGACATCAGCGACTACTACCTGTTCTACCTGAAGTGTCCGTACACGCGCGACGAGCAGCGGCGCATGCTCGGCGAGGAGATCGCATGTGAGCAGGACGTCTACGACATCTTCCACTGCTACATCACGCACCAGCCGAACAAGAACGGCTACAAGGTAATGCTGGTAATAGTAAGGGACTAGAGATGATGGTAGAGAAAGAAGGGAGGAACCTACCCTGGATGATGGTAGGGAGAGAAGGGAGGAAGGAGGGAATGAAGGGAGGGGAGGAGGGAAGAAGGGAGGGAAGAGTATGTCCTCGACATCTTCCACTGCTACATCACGCACCAGCCGAACACGAACGGCTACAAGGTAATGGTGGTAATAGTAAGGGACTAGAGATGATGGTAGAGAGAGAAGGGAGGAGGGAGGGAATGAAGGGAGGGGAGGAGGGAAGAAGGGAGGGAAGAGTATGTCCTCGACATCGTCCACTGCTACATCACGCACCAGCCGAACAAGAACGGCTGCAAGGTAATGGTGGTAATAGTAAGGGACTAGAGATGATGGTAGAGAGAGAAGGGGGGAGGGAGGGATGAAGGGAGGGGAGGAGGGAAGAAGGGAGGGAAGAGTATGTCCTCGACATCTTCCACTGGTACACCACGCACCAGCCGAACAAGAACGGCTACAAGGTAATGGTGGTAATAGTAAGGGACTAGAGATGATGGTAGAGAGAGAAGGGAGGAGGGAGGGAAGAAGGGAGAGAAGAGTATGTCCTTGACATATTTCGTAATGGTGGTAATAGTAAGGGACTAGAGATGATGGTAGAGAGACAAGGGAGGAGGGAGGGAATGAAGGGAGGAGAGGAGGGAGGGGAGGAGGGAAGAGTATGTCCTCGACATCGTCCACTGCTACATCACGCACCAGCCGAACAAGAACGGCTACAAGGAATTACAATGGTGGTAATACTAGTAAGGGGCTAGAGAGGGATTAAGGGAGGGAGGGGTATGTCTATGACCTCTTCCACTGCTACATCACGCGCCAGCCGAACAAGAATGGCTACAAGGTAATGGTGGTAATAGGGACTAGAGAGGAAGGGGGGTAGGTAGGGAGGGATCGAGTGAGAGAAGGAGGCAGGAAGGGAGACACAGGGAGTAAGGAAGGGATGCCTATGGCGTCTTACACCGCTAAATCTCCTGCCAGTTAATCAATAACAGTTATAAGGAAATGGTTGTAATAGTGCGAGACTAGCAAGGTAGGTGGAGACTAAGAGAGGGAGAATGGGAGTAAGGGGTATGTCTATGACCTCTTCCACTGTTGCATAATGTGCCAGCTGAACAAGAACGACTACAAAATAATGGAGGTATTAGTAAGATACTAGGTAGGGAGCGAGGAGAACATCTTCCATTGCTAAATCATGCACCAGCTGAACATCAATGACTATAAGTAATTAATGGCGATGAAAAGAATGGGAAGGTAGGGAAGAAACTGATGATGGTGGTGAGAGAGAAGGAGAGAGAGCAGAGTGAGAACATGAGAGAGCGTGAGAGCGGTGTGGAAGGGTAATGAAAAGGGAAGGTATTGTGGGAGAAGCAATAGGAAACGGCTTGAGAGTGAGGACGGTTTATCCAGAGAAATTGACTGTCAGAGACACAATGATGGAATCAGTTACCGAGAGGTAAGGAAGATAGTGTAAGAGACAGGGAAAAAATAACCTTTTTTTTTACAGGAGCTCTTTTTCAAAAGTCTGTGGGGAAAATTGCTCTTGTCCAAAATTTTACGAGAGCTATTTTGACCCTCACGGGAGCGATTTCGGAGGTTTGAAGAGCGAATCGCTTATCGCTCCCGTGTATTTTTTACCCTGGTAAGAGGCAATATCAAACTTCATTTAACTCACCTGGCACACCTGGAAAGTGGAAGGTACTGATTTCATGCTTTCACACCTAAATGCTTGCCTTTCGTCTAAAGACTGCGTTGCTTGCAGGTGTTAAGGATTCCATGGAATGAGGAAGAGCTGGCTCCGGAAACGGACCGCGTTCACGTGGAACTCAGTAAGTGGAACAAGCTCGGAATTCTGACGACGAACTCGCAGCCAAACGTGAACTGCGAGCCGTCGACTCATCCCCAGGTCGGTTGGGGCAACCCGGGAGGCTACGTATTCCAGAAGGTGCGATACTTAAAAGACAGTAACATGATCGTAGATGTGCCGTGTTATACTATATGTTCTATTATTAAACACATCTATACAATATACGTATGTATTATATAGCCATGTTCAGGAGAATGCTCTATTGAATCTTGATCATATTCCAGAAAGCGTAATAATTTAATGAGAGTGACATGTTCGTATTATCACGGTTATATATTATATATGCATCAGACTACTATCTATGTGATACTCACGGTCATTATCACAAACTGTGGTTTTGTAATATGAACATTTTGGTTATTTTTCAGGCGTATTTGGAGTTTTTTACATGCACGGAAAACGTGGAATGTTTAAAAGAAGTACTTGCAGAGTTTCCCATGGTCAACTGTCACATCTTGAACAATGATGTTAGTTGAATTCTGTGTGAAGCGTTCATTTTATGTGTCATTTATCATGTCATTTATTTATAAACTGACCATATATGGTGTCGTCTAGAGTGTGTGTTTCGCATGGTCACGGCATTCACTTTTCTACTAGTAAGTGGCACTACATTATAGATCCAAACTATCCATCCTTAAACTAGAAGATTACCACGAATCAGCACATTAAGTTAGTTATTAATTTGTTCCTTCTCTCATACCTGGTGTTATTCTGCAGGGTAAGGAGAATTACACCAACTGTCACAGCATGGAGCCTATCGCCGTTACGTGGGGTGTGTTCCCCGGCAAGGAAATAGTGCAACCAACCGTCGTCGATCCAATTAGTTTTAAATACTGGAAGGTAAACTGACCTCACATGTTCTTTAAACTATTGCGGACATATTGCATAATAGTGCAATGACTGAGGAAAAGTGTTAAATGCCTACAAGAAGCTATATATGTATTTTGACGAAAAGTCCACTCCAGCAATAATATTTTATCATCATATAGTGGAAGGTATTTCAATTAATTTTTTCCAATATCATTTGAAGCCATAATAAATACAGTAAGGTAAGTTTCCGAATGAGCTCGTTAAAAATGCATCTTGCAAACTTATGGGTCTAATAGAAAATCCAATATAAATATGATTTTTAGCTCATCTGACTTAGTCAGATGCAGCTTGTAGAATCGCATGATCGTCCGTGCGAGCGTCCGTCAACAGTTGGGCACAAATCTTAAGGCGCGTGGATGCGTCGGTCACGATATTCGGGCCCGCCACTATCTCCCCGGCCGCCGCGCGCGATCCGGAGTTGGGGGGGGGATCGTCGATACACGAGTGTGGAGACTGTCGAAGCTGAGGGTCAAAGCGGTCAAGAGGTCTGTAAAAGACGGGCATATCATTCCTCTTAGCATTATATGTCATAG